ATTTTTAAGATTTGTCATTTTTTTTTACTTTTTAGGCCTGACTATACAATGACATTTTTTCACTTTTTATGCGATAGGATATTATGTTGTGTTTTCTCACTGTCATAATGGTGCAGTGGTTAGAACTGCTGTCCCACAGTCCAGGGGTCATGGGTTCAAACCCTGCCTGGGGCCATTCTCCATTGATTTAGCATATTCTCCCTATGCGTTACCTTTTATGCTTTAATTTACTATCAAGTTTTTATCTTTTTCTCTTTTTATGCCATAGTATAGTATGTCGTTTTTTTCCACTTTTTAAGATTTGTCATTTTTTTTTACTTTTTACGCCTTACTATACTATGTTGTTATTTCACTTTTTATGCCATAGTATAGTATGTCGTTTTTTTCACTTTTTAGGCCATACTATACTATGACGTTTTTTCACTTTTTTTGCCATAGTATAGTATGTCGTTTTTTTCACTTTTTCTATATTTCATACATGTATTCAACACATGTACATAAATTACATTTTTGTGTGGGCATTCATGAATGTAAATACAGATCCTATATGTTAATAAACCATTTGGTTGATGGCATTCCAAAGCCAATCACTTTGTTTTGGAGGGTTGGCGGGGTTGTTGCGTCCCTACCAATGTTGAGACCAAACCTATGCCCTTGCATACACACACAAACATTTGCTAATTTTATGGCTCTACAAGTCAAAAAATATTCAAGTATTATATAACAATGGCATATATATATGTCAATATATATATTGCCACATACTGATATGTCATATAAAGGTTCAGTATTGTACTTATTGAACATTTTGTTTGTTCAAATAGTTTTTCACCTTTTCTCTCCATTGCTGCTAGCCAACTACTCTCACAAAAAGCATTCAACCCTGATAATATAGTTGTTAACTTTGTGTTATTTACTGTGTGGATGTAGCCTGAAGAGGCTTCAAAATTCACTTCAGAATTTCCTTCTCACAGTCGTGTCACAGTTTGCAGTTAATAGTGATCTCATACTCAGCTTTACCTCATGGTTTTTCTCGTCGACTTCAGGAATGACATAATGTCATCTTTGGCCACACAGATTAAGAGACATTCAGCAGTTATTACAACACAGAAGCGCGCTGTTTCACTGATTTGGGTAAACTCAGTATAAGATAATGAAGACACTGCCAACGAAATAAAAAGTCTCAAAGAAAATCATTTAGTATTATTAAGTATTTACACATGAAAATAACAATGCTGTTTTGGATCATGAGGGAGTCCTGGCTTATCTGGGATGCTGAGAAAAACCATACTGCATTTTATAGGGGACAAATAACCTTGTTATACTGATGACATTCAATAGGTGGAGACAAAGACAAAGTCTTCCTTACCAAGACTACCCAGTGTATGGCTCACACCTCAATCAGCAGGCATCGAACTGTTGGAGAAATGACTCCAGAGCCACAGCCACATAAATCATGGGATTGGAAAAATATTTTTATTCAAATATGACATGTTTCTCTGGTTTTGCTGTTTTGTTGTGAACATTGAATAGGTGTAAAGCTTCAAGCTGCGCCTGAACTGAACTTTTTATTATACTGTGTCATGCATTCAGAAATGCTACATATAGAAATCATGCCTGACCCTTATGAGAAAAATCAAAATAATACGTGTGGGCAATTAATAGTTAACAGTGTCTTCCTCTTCTGAAATTCTCTTCATTCTTTGCAAATCTCTGTAGTGTACGTTTGCTGTTACTGATTATTTTCATCATGTGTATTGAAGACATCAGTGGTGGTGCTTGCTGCCGGCAAACTGTTAGCAAAAATGACTACACATCATTAGAAACACTTTCAGGGTGCAATCATACTGATCTCTATTACACTGAGAAAAAATAGTTTAATGTCATTCTTATCAATTCAGTTGGCATCCTGCATTATCTGTTTTATATTTCAACAATTCCTCTCCTCCATCCATGCTCCCTCATTGGCCCTGTTTGTGTGCTCAGATGTGACCTTGTTTATTGCCTCCCTGGATCTACTTTCATGTCACCAGCCTAATCCTCCGGGCCCCCTGCTCAGTGTTAACAGTGGAAGGTGTAGAATGAAAGATCCAGAGCAGCTGAAGGTATGGTACAGTTTGAATACTTACATGACATTGATGGATTAATGTTCCTATGCTACAAGCTTGTATTTATAAATCATGACCTAGTGGCTGAGGATAACACAAAGCAATGCAAAAGTATCTTGTTCTTCCTGTTTTAAATATGTCTCGCCAAGTTTCTCTGCACTGTGGAAGTTCTGAGGAGTTTGCAGATGTTGAGGTACCCTGGATTTTAAGTTGCATGTGTTAATTTGTATGCATATTTATTTATTAACATATTGTATTCATTTAAAAAAAAAAACATTTCATGAGGTTCCATGGACTACACTAAACCATAGGTATTCTGATAGACATGTTGCAAATGGAAGGAGTTTCAATTTAATGAATATCTGTTAATCAATCTCAGTCTCTATGTCTAATCTCTATAACCAAAAGCAACTATATAATTAGTTGTATGTCCTTCTTCCAAGATTTGCTATTAATGAGAGCCATGTAAGACAGCTGAAGCCTTCATTTTGATTAACTTCTGTTCAAGGTCGTCAAACCATTTTGACTCATGATGACATTCAAAGTCACAGAGAATAATAATAAATCACACAGAATAATATATTTATTTAAAAAGTGCAGATTACACTGATATTGCCAGAATATTAAGTACACAATGCTACATTATATATACATATATATGTCGATATTTAACATTCAGTTTTGACAAAATAAACACATTATGCACACTCAAACACTTAAACAAATAGCAGCGTCTTGGTACATATATATTTGTATACATGATGATTTTCTATACATGATCTATGCATCTTTTTTTTAAAATTTCAATTATCCTACAGTATCTGTTACGAGTGGGTATGTATTATAAATGAAGCTTGAATGGAAATGGAAGAAATGGAAATGGAAAACACACACACTCTATTCTTCTTGTTCAACAAAAACACATGATGACTTTTGTCCTACCCAGAAACCTGGCAACATTCTCCCCATGAAGGAGCTCTTAATCTGCTGCAGCAGTCTGATCTCCTTCCTGCCTTCGCCCTCTCCTCCATCCTTCACCTCTTCAACTGCGTAAAAATTGATGACACCAGCTGGATGGTCAAGGTACACCCCGATGGTGGTGCACTGGGGAATATCCCAGATTTCTGTGTTTGTACCATTGAACCACAACTGGTAGTGGGATCCACCCCACCCAAGACCCCAGGACTGTTCATTCTCTCCCAGCCCACAGGGTCCGTCGCTTCCCCTCCTCCCTGCCCCTTCATAGGTGACTCCGAGGACCACCCATCCTGAATATTTAACTTCCCAGTAAGCTCGGAAGCCCAGTATGCCTTCTTTGCAGAGAACCTTGAATGGAAAGAGAGCAAAAATTTGTTGAACATAAAAACTAATGTGTAACTTCCAGATTTGTAACATCCAGATTGTGAATACCTGAGGTACATGCTCATATCTCTCTGGCCTGTCCAGTACGGGGCAAGTGACATCATCAGTCATGCGTGACACCTTGGATCCACCCTCTGTGATCCACAGCATCTTATTGGCTGTCTTGTCATCCAGGGAAAGGTTCATCCAGTCTGCAAGATGTGGAAAATATGCAGCTATAACAGTCAGAAAGAGAAACTACACAAGTAATAGTACGAAAAAAATGTAGAAAAAAGTCAAATGAGTGTTCTTACATTTTAGAAGATCAGCTCTGCATGTGGGCTCAGGGACGTTTGGCTCATAGTCTGGGATGTTTTCTGAATGATGAGAAAAGCCATATTGAAGAGAGAAGCTGGTGGTGAATACAAGATAATAATAACATCATAACAAGCAATAACAGAAAATAAACCTGAACTATAAAGAAGTAAACCTTCAGTGTGTTCTCAAGGTTTACTTTAAAAACTCACCTATAGGAGAAGCAGCAGCTTTGGATTTTGTCCCTGTAAATATAAAACAATTATTACTGTCAGTTGTTCTGCACTTATTGAGTTCTTACTGTCAAAGTAAACATTCTAAAAAAGAAATAAAAAAAATGAAATTAGTTAAGGGTTTATAACTGAACACCAATTTGTACTCCTGGATAATAAACTATAGCCTTCTACATTATCATACATCATCTTCCTGAGGACTAAACAAGGGAGTTCTCACACCAGGTCTGCCAGCGGCAGGCATGATTCTCGTACTGGGAGCACTGGTTGGCATCTTTATCGTTTCTTTCTATGTTGAGGTTTCTTGAATGTTGGCGTCTGTCAGCAGCGTACTGCTGCTATGATGCAAATGACTTCTTTATATACCCCGAGGAAAGAGAGCATTAAAGGTTTTGGGGGCCCCTGGGGCTCCATAAGAGAAATTTTGGTAAGGTATGTAGAGATAATGAGCTCACTAATGGGCGTGCCATGGAGGCTGCCAAACCAGGATATGTACGTCAGCACCAACATCTGACCCGCTGACCCATATTTATCTGAGTGGTCCTGAATTTGTTTTTACAATTATCTTGTCATCTCTTTGTATTCACACACACACACACATCTTGGAAACTGATACCTGCCCAGGAACATGGACGTCCTGTACAGAACAGAGGGATTACGTAAGATTGGAGAAACGGGACTCAAGTGCACTTTGAGACCTTTTAGAAGTAGTGATGGAGAGAAATGAAACCCAGTGCAGTGTGGTTTCATTTGGTTTAGACTTTGTCAATATTGTGCACTTGTAAAGAAGAGTACTTCAAGTTAAAGATACAATCCTTTAGAAATACTTCTAAATGTACCTGATTTTCTCTCTTATGTCCCTTAATATTTTTTGTGGTAGATTAATAATCCTTACTGTCTGTGTTTAGACACTAAAGTGATGGGTTGAAATGCTATCATCACACCATGCGTTCCATTTACATATCAGCTTCTAGATTCTAAATTCATTTATAAGCAACTCATGAGAGGTTATCTATTGGCTGAATTGACCTAAAGAAGGGGTTTGAATCAAATGTTAAGTTATCAGCCAAGTACATCACAATGAAATCATAACTCATGAGTGAAGTAGAAGTTTATTCAAGTACATTTTGTGTACTTATATCCAAAGATGGTTCCACATTATTGCATGATATTCAGACCTATAGACGCTCTGAAAGGTTAAAAACTGAAGTCACGACCTTGAACATCCAGAGCAGCCACAGAACAGGGTCTCAGCTCAGTCATTTGGCAGAGAGTGTTTGTCTGTCAGCAGTGGTTTAACGGTCTGGTGTCTCTGGTTTATCATAGAACTCAAACAGGTACACATGCACGCTCCACGCTCCACCTCTCCTTTATTTTCAATGGTTTCCTCTTGGGCAGTCTGGGACAGTTCAGACACTATAGTTCCTGGTATGTACTGAGAATGTCAGCTGCATTGCAATCAGTGCACCAGTCAGTCATCTGCTTGGGTAGGCAGGAACACAAGAAGGACGAGACAGCCTTGACTAGAGGTTTGGCAGGGTGCCGAAAATGGTAAATACGCAGCCCGCAGCGGAGAGCATAACACAAGAAAGGGTTTATGACCAGCGACATGCTTTTTCTTTTAACCCCGGCCATGTGCATTAAGGCATTTGTGATGGTAAATGGTTGATGTGATAATGCAGGTCAAGAGCAGAGCCAAGCCTGGTATGATGAACTGAGGGATCTCCAGTGAAGTGACTTATTCATCTAAGTATTTAGGTTACACTGGCCTGTGTTTGTATATATATGTATTTGGATTGTGCTTCTTGTCTAACCTACATTTCTTTTTCAGTGTATATTAATCAGATGTTATTTAATATAATGTATTTAATTGACTTGTCAATGCTTATACTATCATGATATCAGCGAGGTGCAAGGATCTTTCATTACTAAATTCTTATTAATGAGTTTTTGTGTGTGTACAAATGAATAAATAATAAATAATAAATTCTCTTTTAAAGTTTCTATGTGTAAAAAGAGAGTAATAATTTCTTAAGTAATGATTTCAAATGCTTTTATTTTCATTTTGTTTGTTTTAAGAAACAAATAAGAAACATATGTCTAGATACGATATTAAAATATTAAGTTAAACCTATAACAAAACTTCATACGCACTTAGTATACATTAAGATATTCATAGAGCTGTAATGAATTCAAGCTTGACAAAAATCATGATATCAATATATTGTTGAGCAAATAGAGTCAGTAAGTTTTTTCTTAAATCTTAAAGTTTCAATGTAGGAACAGGAGCAGTAACTGCAGGGTTCTGAATGTTGCAGCAAGAGAAATATTAATGTTATTATATCACATTGATCATTTGTCTAACACACACACACACACACACACACACACACACACCACGACCCGCACAACACACGTACATATATATATATAATATATATATATATATATATATATATATATTTATATATATAGCCTATACTCGATCATTCAACTTTTAAATTATAGCTACATGATTGCACTTCTTTAATGTATTGTACATTTGCACCTGTTGGATCTCAAACGGCTTGACGTTTAACACCAGGGATTCTCACACGCAGTTTTAAATATTTGCAGCTGCATACTCTGAATTTGTGTGTGTGCTTGTGTGTGTGTTTGCATCCCATCCACCATCAATGCATCAATGCTGTCACTGTGCAATGTGAGGAGATCCGTGGCATTGATGTAGAACGAAGAGGGGCAGGGTTTACTTGGGAACAGAGGGTATCCTACGGACATGAAAGCATCCATCGAACCTTTTTAAGGAAAAACATACATGCACAGCTCCGGTTACAAGCCCCCCCTCCCCTCTTCCTATATCGGCAAGATTTATTTCACCCCACCAGCTCCATTCCTTTCACCTCTGTCCTGCATTAAAGGTATATAAGAGTGGCATTAAGCTGTCACACACTGGAGCCAACAGAGACTCATCACACTCAAAGAGAGCAGTGACATCAGGCCTGAGACAGATTCCTGCAGCAGCTTATACAGTTAGTCCAGCCTTAAGCGGGAATCAAGATGCCTACTACAACAAGAATAATTTCTAACACCCGGAGAGCAGACAAAGGTGAACTTTTATTTTTCTGCATTTCACACAATTTAGAATCACTGTTTTTTGATCTTTAATACTTAGTTTTTCCTCCAAGAGCTTAACTCTGATGCCCCATTTCGATTTTTAGAAGGGTCATCTCCTTTTGTGTCAAAATAATATTGTAGCATGCATTAGTTAAAGCAAATAATACAGAAAACATAAGCAATGCTTTTAAATGTACTGATTTAATAACCCCACTCTGTGTCTGCAGCACTTTTTATTAGCCTCTGAGTCAGATCCTGAGTGAATGGGTCACTAGAGCGTACGTCTGTGTGGAGGAGGCAATAATTCACTGACTGATTTCATGCTTGTCATTACGAGGGGCGTATAATCGGTTTATTGCCTTGGAGCGAGCGGTCTGCAAGTGTCAACATCATCTGCATTAAAACAGATTTCACATGCTGTACTATATGTATTTAACAAACAGCATGTACAGGATAATGCCAGGCTTGAAAATAGGTGTCATTAAGCAGGGTTGTGAGTGTCAGCCTCTAATGTACAGATAGTATTATTATGAAAAACGCAAGAAGGGAAGGCAGAGCGGAAACCCTGTAGCATCGTTTGAAAAAGCCTTAAGTCTTACAATTGTCTTGCGATTTCTGTCACTTAAACTAGATTTTCACTATAATTGTTTTCTTTTTAATAATAAGAATCCAGCATCTTGTCTGCACGAAACTAAATAATGTAGGATCAATAAAAATAAAAAAAAGTTTTTCTTCACACTCTTTGAAAACAGATTGAGAGCTGCAGTGTTATGCACCATTATAAAAAAAAAAAAATTCAGTCAAATCCTGTCACGACTTGACTAACAAGCCCCATGCAGATTTGTCACAGTGGGGTTTAGGCTGCGTTCGGGTTTAAATGTTTTATATGGTGTCAAGTTGTAATGAGTCCAGACAAAGCGGTTATTTTCATCGCCTTGTGCTATATGCCGACAGGTGGCTTCGCATTCTCCCATGATCTCTTACAGCCTCCAGTCGACAGAGAGATAAATATCCGCTCATTTAGACGTGGCACGCATACTGCATGGCGTAAAAATAACTGTTAAGTTTGAAAAATGTAGATAATGATGACAAGTAGATTTACATGCGATGGGAGAGAGCAGCCTCACCTTGAACTCTTTGTCTCTTTACAGCACCACACAAAACCCGCACTATTGTAATTCAATTGATTTTCTTAAGATTGATGCAGTTTGCTTCTTTTTCTTGCCAAAGTAAATTGCATTAATGTTCTGAGCTGATTTTTATGTGTGAATGAAACAGACAGTTTATTTGGATGTGGCCTTGCTTGTTGATATAAATAAAACACATTACTTATGTTAGTTAGATGATGACATCTTAATGCTGTGGGGATTAAGTGTCTCTTTTTCTTGATGTCCGTCCTTAACAAAAAACTGGAGACCGCATTGCTTACACATGATACCAAAGTATATAAATAATATATATAAATGCTATAGCTACAAACTTAATCTAAAATCTAAAAATCTCTTTTTATTAAAGAGTCCCTACATTACTAACTTAAAAAAACAACAAGTTGCATGTGTTACAAACACATTATCGTTACATGAACTCCTCACTTTTTGGACGACCTTCTCAAACTCTCCTGGTTGTTATTTACCTCGATAAACAAGCGATGGAGCTTCATCCCCAACGTATCTGATTTGTGTGAGCAGATCATGTCCTTCCTCACTTCTGATAAAGTGCTCAGAGCTTCATGCTGCACGCTCCAGTGCGACTGAAGCCAACCCTGCAGCATGTGAGGTGTCTTGGTAATTCCAGCCGCCCGGCATGAATCAACCACTGGCTCCAGAAAGCATGCAGCTGCTGATGTGATGATCTGAAAGAGGCAGATGGTTTTCTAAGTATACAACCGTTTTGCAGAGTCTCACTTCATCACCTGTTGGGACACACCTGACACATACTGTAACCTATATGTATTCATTACTATTCTGTCGTAATACAGGTTGCTGTGTTTTTTTTTTGTTTTTTTTCTTGTAGCAAAAAAAGTCAAAGATGGAAACACGGGTAAGACAGTCACCTTACCACAGACCTGATCACACTATTTGGTTTGTAAATATTTGCACTGTAAATCCTGATCCACCAATTTCCCTCCTCTCATTCCTCAGAGAAGACCCCAGCCTATGAGCCAAATATACCTGAACCCAAATGCAGAGCTGATCTAATCAAACGTGCGATTTTTACTCTTGTATTAGTTTTTTACAATTTGGTCCAAGTATGATTTTTTTCATTAAATTAATCATTGTCTCCTGTTTTTTCAGACTGGCTCAACATTTCCCTGGATGACAAGACAGCCAATAAGATGCTGTGGATCACAGAGGGCGGTGTAAAAGTGGCCCGAATGACTGATGACATCACTTGTCCTGTCTTGGATAGACCAGAGAGATATGAGTATGCTCCACAGGTATGAGGATGCAAATACATTATTTGGTCTAAAATTACAGTATTTAAAATGCATTTTCTTTTGATTTACCATGTTCAAAAAAAGATGGTGTGAAGCCAACCAACAGTGTTATAGAGCAGAGGGCTGGCCCCCTGTGTTTATTTAAATCCTGAGCCAACTGGTTTGGCATTGCAAACTGGAGAAACTGAAGCTATGATAAATTCTCTGCAAGTGGCAGCTATAATAAATCACAGGTTATGTGAGATTATTTCTTAATTACACTGTTATTCCCACTCACATTCCACAAGGTCCTCTGCAATGAAGGCATCCTGGGCTTCCGAGGCTACTGGGAGGTGGAGTTTTCAGGATGGGTTGTAGTCGGAGTCGCGTATGAAAGAGCAGGAAGGAGGAACAGTGACGGATCCTGTGGCCTGGGAGAGAACGAGGAGTCCTGGGGTCTCGGCTGGAGTGGTTCCAGCTATTACGCCTGGCACAAAGGCAACAGTGTAGAGATCAAGGAGATCCCTCAGTGCTCTATAATTGGTGTATACCTTGACCAGCCTGCTGGTATCCTTAATTTCTATGCTGTGGAGGAAGTGAAGGATGGAGAGGAGGGTGCAGGAGGGAAGGAAGTTAAACTTTTGCAGCAAGTTAGGAGCTCCTTTAAGGAGAAAATGATACCAGGTTTCTGGATGGGGACACAGTCTAACTGTTTGATTGTAAAGAAAGAGGAAACTGTATCTACAAGTCAGTGATCGTGATCCCATCTCTTCTGACTGTGAAACAACTACCAGTATGTCAGCATTTACCAACTCAGCACAGGCTTGCATAAATCATGTGCACATCACATCATAATTAAAACATTGTACATTAGATGTATTCCTCATATACAGGATCTCTGGGGCAGACATACAGTAAATGGTCGTTGCATTTCAATAAAGGGAACAAAGTGCAATCGGGTAGGGATTCACCTTTGACCTTCCACTCTTTTGAACTTTCCTGAAACCACAGGACCACTCAAGGTTTATATTGATATATTTCTATATATATATATATATATATATTTATTTATTTATTTCTCCATTGTTATTGTTCAGAAAGAATGTATAGGGTTACCTAGTTTGGTATGTTTGAATAAATAATAAAATACTGAAAAAGTCATTTTTCGTCCTGGTTTGTTAATACACATATTTAAATATAGTGACAGCAAAAAAGTAGTGCTGCTACATGTAGAGAATTCATTTCCTTTATCAGTCGACTTATGAAGGACACTGGTCATTAAGGAAACTGGTGTTCTGCGTAAGCTCACATTTTCATTTCATCACCGTGCGCTCTCAGCATTACAGAATGGGTGTAATACTGTAATTGACAAAAACAAACAAATTCATTAATCCGCCACTTTTGCTCACAGACTCCTCCTCGCATCTCTAGAGTCAATTTTTTAACCAAGCACCCATTATTCTCCTGTGGGTCTCCATATTGGCACCAGGAAAAGGTTTCCTGGAGATTTATGGTGGTTTTTGTGTTCTACTTGAGGATAAACGTGAGAGATGTTGCAATAAGAAATCCTTTTTCTTTAAATACGGGTTTTGCTCTTTAAATAAATATTAATGCCACTGATGCAAGACTTGGTAAGCCACTTTTCACACAGTCTTGAGTCTTGGCAGGTGTAGGAATTAAAAATAGATGCATTATATGGGCCATAGATCTTTATCTGTCAACATAGTTTAACGTCTTCTTTGGACTGCGTTGTCTTTGTTCGGTGGATTCTGCTTCCCTCCCGCCTCACTCGTGCTGACAGCACTGACAAGCCCAGTTTCTGATTCCTACTTTCAGTCATGTTTGCAACCATCTTCTTGCTCTTTTGAACACACTCCTAGAGTTTCACGGGTGTCCAATGCCTGTGTTAGCCTCACATATATCCATATGTCAAAGTCAAGGGCATACACCCCCTTGCCCCCCTGTTGAGAAGCTGTTCCACTGACTCCAGCACCTTCTTCAGACTCTCCTACAGCCCCCACCCCCGCCTCATCTTCACCAAGGGTATAAAAGTCAAGTGAAAGACGGAGACTTTTCACATTTACTTTGCGTGAATCAAAGAGTTTTCAAACAACTGAACGTGGATTATTAGCGCAGGACCTCAAGATGCCGACCAGACCTAATTGTGCAATAATCCTCTCTGAGACCAGCAAACCAGGTACAACAACATTTTGTACAATGTAATGCAAAACCATTACATTTAATATGAAAATGAATATCTTTGCATTCCAACAAACCTATAACGTATCAGCATCTTTTCAAAAGGGAATATTCTCATTTACAAAGACAGTTATTGGCAATTAATGAACAGGCTTCTCAGCTTGTTTGTCTTCCTATAAAAAAGAAAGATGACTTTGAATTCATAATGCCTCTCTCCTACTTGTCTTGAGTGAATGTGTTTATATGAAGGCCATTAATCTGATCATTATATGGAATAAGGAAATCAAGGGTATCACTGAAAATGAGGCATCCATCAAAACCACTCACACAGTATGAGAAGTCATTTTTACACTTGGCGGATATTTTCGTTGAGAGAACCATCTTTTTTTAAATGTCAAATCGGTGACTGAATCTTATATATTTCTTTTTCCCATAATAGGTGTATATTATTTTGGAAAGAAACACAAGTGTCATAGATGTATCAACCACTTATTTCTCAGTTACAGTGATGGTCATGATTGGGTTTCATATCCAATATTCTCACTGGCTTTAAAATGTTGTTTTAAAATGTGTATATTCACATTTGTCAAACTCTCCATACAGCATTGAAAGTGCATGGTATAGCACAGATTGTTGTGATTTTTCCTTGACATGAGGGATTTTCTCATATTAATGGCCTTTTTTTTTTTGACAATTAATGTAAAAAGAAAATTTAGGAATACCTTGGATTCTATATTCTTTGCTTCTTAAATGCTAACGTTTCTTCATGAGTCCTGTTTCATGTGTCTGTGGTAAACAGGAAAACAAGCACCTTCTTCTTCTTGCAGTTTAACCTTTGGTCTTTACATTTTTTAGGGAAAAAAATGAAACCCAACAAGAATGATAAGACAAATGCAGGTAATGGATTTGATGCATGTGTTAGTTTGTCTGAATATTACTTCTTTCTGTATTTACACCTGTTTCGTTTCCCTCCAGAAAAAGTCTCAGTTTATGTGCCTGGTATCCCAGAGCCAACAAGCAGAGCTGAGCTCATGAAGTGTACGGGCAGATTTTGTTTTTTCAAATAATTCAAAGTTCAATACTTTTTAAAGGATTCACTGATAGTTTATTAAAAAAAAATATTATGGTTTAATTTTCTCCTGTAGACTGGATGAATTTGTCTTTGGATGACAAGACTGCAAACAAGATGTTGTGGATTTCTGACAGTGGGTCTAAGGTGTGTCGTAGAACTGAGGAGATCTGTCCGGTCCTGGATAGACCAGAGAGATACGAGTACTCTCCACAGGTGAGTCAGAAAATGCTATGATACTATTACAGGCTATCTAGTAAAGAAACAAAAGTTATAATCTTGTTTCCCCCTTTTTTCTTACTTTCTTCAAAGGTGGTGTGCAAAGAGGGCCTTTGGAACATGAGGGCCTACTGGGAGGTGGAATACTCAGGGTGGGTGGTAATTGGAGCCACCTTTGAAGGAGCAGGACGGAGGGCAAACAGTGGGCCGAGCGGCCTGGGAGAAAATGAGGAGTCCTGGGGTCTGTGTTGGTCAGGAACGTGTTATCAGATCTGGTTCAATGGCGTAAACAAAGACATAAACAATGTCCCGTATTACTCCAGAATTGGCGTTTACATTGACCAGCCTGCAGGGATTATAAGCTTTTATGCTGTAACTGGTGAGGGAGCAGAGAAGGAGGTTAAGCTGTTGCATAAAGTTAAGACAAGTATCGAGAAGAAGATTCTTCCAGGTTTCTGGGTAGGAATTCAGTCCTCATGCACGATACTGAGAAAAACAGAATGAAAGGATGGAGCTAAAACTGAACAAAACTGTGTTGATGCGGCAGTCTGGTTTTGACCCTTGAGTGGCTAATGTTTTATTCACATATTCCTGTAAGTCTTATTTAATACCAAAATTTGCTTTAATTAATGAATTAATCAAACATGTATCAGTTCTATTCTCTTTGTGGGAGTTGTTATAAAAAATAAAAAATAAATGGTTATTGTATTTAGAGTTGTTATCATTTCTAGAGAAATATTTTTCTATTTTTTGGTCTTTTTTGTCAGATACGCCTTTATTGTATAGTGTATGCCTGGTTCTATAGCATCATATTGGACATCTATGAACTGATAATGATGTTTATCAAAGTTGTGTGGCATGTGACTTCATGAAATCTGAAATAAAGTATGTATTTAAACCAAATTATTATCCCCTATTGTTTTTAATTATGACTGTACAGATTCAGTTTTGTCATATTTTAGGTTTAATACATTTTAAATGAAATTAGCGCCTGACCTCATTTACTCCCTCTCGTTTTTCCATCTGTGATCATTCCTTAACGGGTGAAAGCCCTGTTGTGTTGCTAGGATAAGGTTGCACACATCGATCCTCTTTGGATTTAGCTGAGTAAAGAAGAAGGAGAATCACTTCCCTTCCCTCCGGGTTGGAAGGAGCTCACTTTGATATGTGAGAGGCTCCAGTTTGAAGATCACTTTCCTACTTTGACAGGTGGGCCTCAACTCCTGCCGCCTTCACACCTAATGCGTGAGCTTTACAGGAACTAAAAGTGGGGCACACCAACAAAAACATTCACACTCCTAATTTAACAATGTCCATAAAGAGGCCTGATGATCAACTACATGAGCCGTGCCGGTGTGTTGAAACCAACACTCCAAGTGGGTCACAAATTAAGCTGCTATTATTACCAATAAGAACTAGAAAACAAAGTGAAAGGGATCGCTAGTGATAAACTATGGTTGACTCTAATTGCTCTCAATAATACTCAACAATACTTGCCACAGCAGGCAGCTGTTTTTAGCAAAAGAGCTCTAAAAACCCACTCCACAGTAGCTGCTCAGCATCGAGCAGCAGTCACACACAGTAAGCGACTAGCTGGTGAACAGAGCACAGTGACAGATATTTTCCTCAGGAATTGTCAGAGCTAAAAGCAAGTGAACATTCTACATCTAGATGCTTTTCTGAGATTAAAAACATAAATAACACTTAGCGCTATAGTTAATTCAGGTCATTTTTGACCTGGTCTTGGAATATAATACAAATAACTCAAAAACTCAATTATCATATAAAGTAAATGAGACACAAGAGATTTGTGTTGTGATGTTTGCATCACAAAAATGTTAATCACTAAACAAAACAAAAAAAAACAGATGGGTCTTTTTTAACCCATCTAAGGTCTAAAAAAGTCATTTGTGCCTGTTTTGTTGTTGTACCATCAAGACAACTGTCAACAAATTTAAATCACATGGTGCTAATGCACTCTGAGTATATCTGAGGTCAATTGTCATATGTAGCAGCTCCTTTGGGTCCAACTTTCCAGCAGGACACTGTAGATAGAGGTTGCCACAGCTCATAATCATTTCCATTTCCAATAATATATATGTATGTATATGTAAATATTTTATGTATATGAGTATATTTATGTATGTGTATATATATATATATATATATGTGTGTGTGTGTGTATATATATAGTGTATATATATAAATATGTATACATACACATATACATAACTGCTGAAGTACACTTGATCAGAGACATATAAGCATGATTTATGCTGTGGTCCCTGTGATGAATTTATAGTCAGTAAGGTCTGACAGTTAAACCTATATGACAGATACACACATCCATTGTGGCCCAAAGCAAACAAAACTGGAGACCATGGTCCAAGAATAATCACACCCAGAGCGTCGAGCGCCCTACATGTTTGTGTCAGGATGTGTGAGCGTATATGCCAGGCATGTGGGTGAGTGGTAACCCTAAGCTTGTGTCATGAGCAAAGTGGTATAAGCTTTGCATGTGACACATATAGCTTTACACAGGCCTATAGGAAGCAGGGGAGAGTGTCCTATATATCACTGCTTTGGACAGTACAGACTCTGAATATAAACACAAACTCCAAATCAAAGTTTAAATGTTTTTACAGCAAAACAAATTATGAACTAACATTTGCCTGTGAAATTAATAAAGTGGCAAATATATAATTTCATAACAGCATTATTAGATAGAACATCAGTTTTCCTCTGAGGAGAGAACATGTCAGTGTCCTCTCCTCAGACAGAATGTATGAGCTTCGTGTGAACACTTGTGCAGTAGCTTGATGACTTGCGTTCAGTAGCTGGTTCTAAATTACATCTACTCTGTGTGCTCCCGTGATATTATTCCCATCTGGTCCAACACCACTCTATCGATGATATGCAGCAGTCATTTATTCTGACACTATTGGTCCCGGCAGATTTACTGTCATGTAGCTGGCCCACGTTCAAACTGTCTACAGTATGACATCGCCTAGTGAGGTTCCATGTTGCTCTCTCTCTCTCTTTCTTTGCCTGTGTATATATGTACAGAACACAGACACACGCACACACATATATATATATATATATATATATATTTACTGTATAAATGCATACATATACACACCACTCTCATTCACCTTCACTGTCTCTGTTGTCTGTCCACACTCACAAATGTCAATCTAGGACGTGCGGTGCTCCCGTAGTCCATGCATGACACTGGGATGCTGAATCAAGGCCTGTAAAGTAAGGGAGAGAACCATATTAACAGTGAAATAATATTTGGAGAAACAGGTGACTTGACTGAATTTTTACCAGCTTTTATCAAATAGTGAAAGCAAAGTGGCAATAAACCTTGTGAAATGTTACAGTAAGAGGCCCGTGGCCTGCTCTGTGTGGAATGATTCAGACACCGCTCCTGTGTGTGTGACGTCAAATATAAGCTGCAAGTTTACTCATGAACATCACAGTGTTTGTGCATTATCAAAAACAAAAAAAAAGTAAGCTGTGCTAAAATGTCTGGTGCTAGTAATCATATTAACATAACTTAAAGCGCAACAGCTATTTTTGGTGATATGTAATTACAGCATTTTAGACAGTGGGGCCACTGTTTTCATTTTGGATAACGTATTGTACCTTCAATCTATGTATAGACAATATTCAAAAACACTAATACATGTGGTAATACTTCACTGGTTCATCATTTCTGTGTATTTATGTACACATAAATGACAGTACATTTACTTTAGTACTAGACTATATTCAGGTGCAGTTTTGAGATACTTGAGCATTTAATGCTACTTAATAGTTTAACTCACACTTCAGAGGGATATTGTACTTGTTACTCTAATGCAAATTTGTCTCTCTTGGTTAGTTCACCTGTAAATAACCATGTTAGGTCAATGCTGTTCCTCACTGATGAAGACAATGCATCACAACATGAACATATTATACCATAACATATATAGTTGTTCTACAAATGTATAAAGCTTTTTTTGTGTATTTTAGCCAATTAGATATTTATCACTTGCTGTTTTTAATTGTGTTTTTTATTATTAGTATTATTATTATTTTAATAGCTATCAGTACAAGCTGTGTGTGCTATACAAAATTATTAAACAGCTCCATCTGGTGGATTCTTGCTGTCTGTACAATAGAATACAATGGCTGAACAGTTTTATACAGATATATTTTATCTCACTTTTTATGAGAATGACATTATGAGGACAGTTTTACTTTTGTACTCCAAATTGTACATAAGCAATTAGATAATAATTAAATAATGAACTGAATTATATTAATGTCGTTAATTAAAAAAAAAAAAAAGTATATATATATATATATATATATATATATATATATATATATACACACACATATATACTGTATATAACAAATTAATCTGTAAAATAAAGCTCATTATAGATGCTTGTTGTTGTCTCAGGCCCCCTGCCTCTCTTAGCAGAGCTCAACAATTGCTACCAAGTGCAAATAAACACAGTGCAAATGAATAAAAAAATAGCAACAAACCTCTCCTTTTATTTAGCTTAACAAGGCTACATATGCTACTGTACCTACCTCAGCAGCTGACAAGCTGCATGGCGCGTAAGCTTGGGGAATTTCTTGACATTAAAGTGAAGAGCCAGTGTTAACAGCAGCTGCTAATTCACTGTCGAGTTACCCTGGCAGTTTTGTGATTGTAAAGATATTCCTCAGAGAAAGTTCAATTCTGATATTTCCTCTAGTCTACAGGAGCCAGTTACTGCAGCTAGCAGCAGAGCTTTGACTGGCAGCCGGCAGCCAGCACCTGGGGGCTGATGTGATTGACTAAAAATTAAGGGGGCAGGAACAGGTGACACTTCAGCTGTCATGAAAAATGACATTTTGAAATAAAAGTGACTATAATGAAATAACATTTCATAATATTGGGTTGAGTTTTCATAATTTATTAAATAATTTCACATTTTATTGATTCATTTAAATATTTCACTCCTTTTTTTATTCTCTTAATTCATTTGATCATTTATTACAAAATGTCTCATCTGTTAAATACTGAACATTTTTGGGGCTCCCATATATTACAGGTTAATGTCGACTGTTATGTTACGTTGTGTCTTTTGTCAGGAACCACATTTCCCATGAGCCATGACACCACTCCTCCTGCTTCCTGAGTGCGAGCGCCCCACAGGTTGTTTAGTGTGTAATAGGAGATCATGAGTAGCCACGCAGCTGTCAGTCAACAGGGCTGATTGTGAAGTATGCTAAATGGGTGGGGTCGTAAATATCTGGAGGCAGACTCATGTGCCCCCTGTGAGAACTGGACATCCCGGGCATCCGAGGTCACGACCTTCCTGATTGAAACCAAATGGCCTGGACATGTGAAATACTAATTATAAGATGGCATGATTACTATTTGAGCAATGAGCAATGGCGTGAATGATTTTGTGCCATACCTGCGGTGCATTGTGTTTCAAGGATCTGGGATTTCGAGCAACAAAAGGACTTCTGACGCAGAATTATGATAGTCATAGATTTGAATAGTGTGCTATCAACCAGCCAGGCCTTGTTGCTATCCCACAGGAATAATTTTAGACTTGACTTTTCTCTTATCTTCCCTGTTCTCATAGCACTTAACATACCTTTGATATCTTCCTCTTGTACAACAATAATGCCAGCTCTCCTGAGGCATGTGTGGTGGCCCGCTGCTGAGTATCAGCTTTCACTTTTCCTCTCAGTGCTTCTCCTTCCGTCTAGATTTTTGATATTATCCATGATGAGAAAAGCTCACACTCCTGTCCTCTCACCTTAAAGCACTGTACATCTGTTTTTTTCATTACCGGTGGATTAGTTGAGCACCATCTCTCGTGTGCTGCCTGCAAGTCAAGTGCATTAAAGTGCATACTTCAGTTTCTATCTTGAGAATGTTTGAAGAGGAACTCCACAAGACGCTGACTCAGTGCAGGAGAGAACCTAAATAAGAGCCTACCATCTGGGAAAATGCTTTTGCCTAATTGCAGAAACCTTTAAAGTCTAGACACTATAATTATTAGACAATGGGATCATGTCTGACATTTAAATACTACCTTAGATATAGATCTTTTCTGTTTAGTTTATAATTCTTTAACGTTTTAAATACTATTTTGTACTCTTTCCTGCCACTTTAACCCAAAACTCTCCTTTACAGTGAGACGTTCAATTAAACTGATCTATTACTGCCTTACTAGATAGTTTGAGCACCTAGATTTGATTGTAGAAATTCTGTTTATCAGTTTGCAAATGAAACAAAGACTTCAAGCCATTGCACTCAGCTGTTCATACTCCGAATGGTTGGGGGCCTTATCAAAGATGATAATTCAAGACTGGCATCCAAGTCTTCAATCGTCATAAAGCTAGATGCATATGGTCGATAACTGAAATTCAAATAATGCAAAGGGCAGAGCAGAAGAATGAGAGAACAGCTGTTTTTTGTAAATTCCGAAGTCACAAACCCACACTCAGCTAAAGACAGAGAGGCTGTCAGGGGCAGGGTGAGAGGGAGGGACACTGAGGAAGAAGAGGAAGAAGACGACGGTGGGGGGAGAAGGGAGAAGGGGCTCACAGAGAGTGCACTGTTAGAGGACAGAGAGTGTTTACAGCCCGCGTAGGTAGATCACCGCACCGACACTGCCGCCACAAGTCCGAGCAGAGGGAAACAGTGAGAAACAGAGAGGGAGATTCACACGTACGAGGAGAGAAGCGGAGTGTGGCAGGAGATTGTTGGGACTGTTTGGGCAACAGGAGCTCGAGGTAGCCAGGAAGAGGGCAGCCAAGCCTGAGGAGATGCTGTGAGGAAGCGTGCCAAGTGATGGAGCTTGAAGCAGCCAGCAGGCGGATACAATTAGTCAGGTAAAGCAATATGGCATCTTTATTATGATTTATGTCTCACTAAATTATAAGTATTATTTGAACAGTTAAACAACTGTTTCAGAGAGATATTTGAGTGCATTTCAGTATTTATATGAACTCTGTATTTCCATTTATTTAATAAGTTTACAGCCATTTTCCATTCACCGAACAAACTACTACTGTTGCTCATGGTTAGCAGAGTTGTGGAGCAGCGTGGCTGTTGTGATGCATTATCTGTGGCTGAAATATAACAGGCCCACTGGGGGATTTTTTCTCAGCTTTGCCAAGCTGTGATATCCCAGCTGTATTTACACAGCAACTTTAATGTCTCCTAAACCCTAACTTTACTGTCCATAACCGAATGAAATATGTTACATACAGCAATCCCATGTCCTCAATAGGAAAATCTTCTCAGGCAGTCAAATATGTAGTCGAGACAGTGGCTTGTTAATTGTAAGGTCAAATGTATTGTCATGATTTTGTTGACATTAAAAGGCATGAGAATGTAGGAGACATGCAAATGTTTTTGTTGATGGAGAGGGAGGATATTCCCCCGGCCGATGCATTCAACATGCTCTGTGTCCAACTTTCACATGATGCTCCAGAGTCCTTGGGCGCTACAAAGCGCACTCTGTGCGGTACACAAACCCACTATTTGTCCTCCGGTCCTTCGCTCTTTAGCATTTCAAGTCTTCTCCTCCCAGCGCAAGTGACCCCAACTGATTAAGAAGGAGATTTTCCAAATATTTCACAACACCCACATAATCCCCCAGCGGCTGTGAGGTTGTTAGTCTCCGCTCTCATCTCTAACAAAGACTTTCTCTCATTTACTCTGTGTCTCACTAGTAGGGGACTGTGGCTGATACTGACATAGATTGTAGATGCTGAACCACGTCAAACCACTGGGTCACCCACGAGTGCTTGTGGAGGCTGCATGTGAGATGTTCTCATGAATTTTTATCATCTAGTTCATCTCTACTGTTGTTTCATGACGGTCAACAATAACGCTACAGTTTAGACAAGCTGTGAAATGATGCTTTGCTAAAGAAGCCACAGCAGGTGCAACTTAAAGAAGCTGAGGATCAGTTTTAAAATCTTAATAAGATGTTAGTGTGTAACTCGAGTATTATGTTGTTAAACATAGCATATATACATCTATACAAGCATATGCAAATACAGTACATGCAGCAAGTAGTTTGGCATGGAGAAGAAATTTAAGGGGAGGTTATATTTTTAACCAACTCATGAATAAAGTGGTGCTTTATACAGTTATACTAGTAATATATGAAAAATAAATATTGAAGAAATACTTTATATGGGCATAAGAAAGTAGTTATAGTTGTATCAAGTAATATAATATGAAATATAAGTAAAGTTATGCAAAGTCATAAAGTAGGTGCAGGTGTAAGAAACATGCTACCATGTGACCTGAGGTACAGAACCAAATATGCTGATGAATCCTAAAGAGACAGCATGACTCTACAGAAAAACACAAACCTCTGACACAGTCAGCCCCACCCCTCCCCTACACATTTGTCTTCAACATGCCACTTTACTTCCCCGGCACCACACTCTTTTATTTTGGTTCCCGTCCTAAGCAGTCTACACTGCAGTTCTGCAGTTTGGGACACATTCCAAATCTCGTCTGTCATACCAGCCCGTCCCATGCTGCCAGATTGGTTTTCACACTGTCCCGGGCCCCTCCCTGCTACCACGGCGACGCAGCTGTCACCTGTCAGTTTCATGGTGGGGATGCACACAGGCCTGTTATGGCTTAGAATAGACCGGTGGGAGAGTTTCGCTGGCGGTGGAAGAGTACAACACCGAGTCTCTGAGAGAATGAACAGTTGACGAGGAACAAAAATCTCAACTATACGAGAATGTGGCATATGTGAGCTCGGAGGTTATGGGACTGGGTGCTGTTCATGGGAGTGACTGACTAGGTGGCTTCTACAGAGAGAGAATCTGGTTCAGTTTGTATTGGTAAGGCCTCACCAACCACTCTCAGCTAGTTCATTCAAATATGTAGGCTGGCAGTGCTACAATATAAAGAGTTGTTCAGTACTAGATGTGCATGTGTATTCATATTTGTTGTTTTTCATAAAGAGGTCGCTCCGAGGTCGTGGCAAACTATAATTGTACAGATGTGGATATTTTTATCATCTGATCTGAAAAAAATCTTACAGTATTTGGATTTCCTGCGCACTTTTATGTGTTTGTATCACAAGTAATTATGACTTCATTTCTTGTTCATAAAGCCACCTGCATAGTAACAGTACTTGGTTAAAGTTAATAGTAGGGTCTAGGATTTAGTTTGAGTGCAACACTGTAAAAAAAAATTGAATCTGCATTAATCTAAATGTTTTGACTGAAATGACATTTTCGCTCAGCTGTGACACTCACTTATGTTCGTATTCTCCTTCTCATCTTCTTCGTTTATGTATGAATTCTTGTATTTCCCTGCAGAATGGATGACCAGGACAGAGTAAGCCAAGCTTCCAGTGTGGCCACTATTTCCTACTTTCCTGTGACAAAGGTGCGTTTTCCAGTTTTCCAGGCAGCCGTGTTATAATGTGCACATGTGAAAGGATTTCTGTGACACCGTTCATGCATACAAAATGTGTTATTCCTTCCTTTTGGGTAACAGGAAAGTGATGGGAGGGTGCAAACATTTGGGAAAAGATGTCAAGCTGCCAAGAGAGACCCCAACTGCCCTGTGGTTATTAGAGGATGGCTCAACAAAAAAGTAAAACGCCAAACATCATCTACTGATCTATTTAACATCTTTTACCTTCATCATTGCATGTAGAAGAGTGTGTGGCTGGGCCTCTAATGAATCTTCCCTCCGCAGGATAGCTCTGGTTTGAAGCTCTGGAAGAGAAGATGGTTCGTCCTCTCCAACTACTGCCTGTTTTACTATAAAGGTAAAGAGCACAGCATGAGTCCCAGCACTGTGCGTGGAATGAAATCTTTCCTATGTGCTCTGGATGAACAACAAGGCATCTCTTCTTTTGTTCACTTCTTTCCCGCCCTCAATCAGACAGCAGAGAAGAATCTGTGCTCGGCAGCATCCCACTCCCAAGCTACAAAATCCTGTTCTGCACACCACGGGAATGCAAGAACAGAAAGTTCACCTTCAAGGTATCTTCATTTAGATCAAGCGTCATACCAGCCTTTTTTTTTTTTTTGATTATGCATACAGTGTACAAAGAATAAGTTAATTGTTAACATAACATTTTGTTTAGATTCAAAACTATATGGATTAACAAAATGAACTATTCCACAGGAATATTTCAACTATTTTAAATCCACTACACACCTGAAAGGCTCCTCTCTGCGTATATTCACTGAAACCCGTCTAATCAGGTCAAATTAAAGAACTTCTATCTTACCCTTATTTGAATTGGGTTGGGTAGAAGTAGTAGTTCACTAGACTGAAAAGCATCACCATACACATAAAACAAAAACCATTTAAAAAAATCATAAAAAAAATTGAGCTATCCTATATGTAAAAACAAATCAGCTGCCATCGATTCTTCATTAGGGGAGAAGTAACAGTGTTACCTCGTGAATGATCTCTGTAAAACTAGGTGGTGCACCAGGGTATGCGCTCCTACTTCTTCAGCGCCGACACTCAGGAGGATATGTTGGGTTGGGTCCGAGCCCTCAGTCAGTCTGCAGCGATGGAGCCAGACAGCTCCATGAACAGGTACAACTCTACTCACTGTGGATATGAGGTGTTATGTAATGAATTGATTGCACTGTGCACTGAGTGAGCCAATTTTTCTTTTTCTTTTTTTTTTTTTTTGGTGCATCTCTGATCTTTTCAGGCGTTGCTCAAGTTATCAGGATTTCACACAGATAGGTGGCAGCAGTGAATCTGTGGACTTCCCTAAATCCCCCTCCGATGGAGAGGGTCCTTCCCAAAAACACAGGCACGTCAGCAGGACTCTGAGCGAACCGAGTCATCTCACCGGTGGGAGGATGGGGACGTCGCACTCGGAGCACAGGGGGAGGCGGAGAGTGCGTCACAGAAACAGCAGGTTGTCAAGTCGTTTCAATGTGTGAAAGGCGCACAGTTAAATCCCAGTGGTTTACTTAAAGGGGGGAAAAATCCTTTGAGAGAGGTCCCAGCTTTGGCATTTTGTTCTGTCTTCTCTGATGTCTTCACAGCCCTTCAAACAGAACACCCAGTCCCGCTGAATTCAGCAGGAGAAGAGCTTGTGGTCCAAATCAAGAGGAGGATTCTTTTCCGGGCCAAAACACACCACCCACCCAAACAGAAATTATGGGAACAGGTTCATTGACCTCCAGAGGGCAGCTTGGGTCCCGACCTCATACGCCAGTGGGAAGGGTTGACATTCGACCTCACGATGACCCGGTCATGGTGCCACAGACCCTATACTACGCACCTGCCTCACCTAAGCTGGAGTTCAAATCCACTCCGACTACTCCAGTCTCAGAAAGGTGGCAGAACCTCAGCCAGGTCAGGGCATGTTTGGTTTATCATGATATTGGAAAAAATTACAACAGAGGTTTTGTACCACACAGCACTTGTTTTTTTTTCAGTATTTTTCAGATAATAATAATGTGTCTTAAGTGCAATAAACTGAGAGGTACAGCTTTGATTTATCGTCATGCTCACAAGCATGAAGCATATAGGTCAAAAAGTATTTCTTTATATATTAATTTTATACATTATTATCATTATTATTATTATTATTATGTATTCTTTATGTGGCTTATTTGTTTATATACAGAAAAACAAAAACTGCCTTACCCAAAATTTAAGTAAAAATGTTAATTATACTAAAATTAAGCAATGTCACAGATATGCCTGCTTATTAATATTACTATATATATTGAAACATCATCATTAAACACAACTTTTCCATTCACTCAAGAATTACAATTTGAGGGTTTCAAAAATGTAAGTAATGCCAATGTAATAACCTATTAAGTTGCATTGTGGGAAATGCAGGATCCAGTGTTTTTGGAGCTCAAAAGGAAATCTCAGCCACTGCTGCTGTGATTTTGATCATTCTGTTTTAATCTAATCTGCGAGTTCCCCAACTTTATGGAAGTGCGATGCTAAATCTCCAAAGTGCCCCTTTAACATCATTTCTTGTCACCAAATGACTCCCGTTACTCACACCTTATCTTTTTCATCGTCTACAGCCTACACCTACATACGGTTCAGTTCATCATATGCCGAGTGGGAGAAGACCTCTAGGAAAGGTGATTATAGTAGTGTAATGTAGTACAGTATTGTAACGAACGATACATCTACGGCAAGTTTGTAGCACATCACACCTATTGATCACATTCCCACCATTCTTTAGTAAAAACCAACTAAAATAAATCATTGAAGTGAGTTGAATTTTTACTGTTGTACTTTTAAAGCCACGTTTCCGCTGCTGTTCTCACTTGATGTTATCTACGTGCTGTGTTCTCCTTCAGAGCTACTCTACGGGGGCACATGCAGACTTACTGCCCCCTCTGCCCCCCTCATCGAGAGCCGCACATGCTCCCCACCCACCACACCACCACCACCACCATCACCACCATCTCCGCAGCCATTTATCTGTTTGTGTGCTACCGCCAGCCATGGTACAGCGCTGTGTGTTCGTATAGTGTCTTGTGTGGGAACAGAACTGTCTGTGGTGTTATGGTGTTTTGTATTTGTGTTATGTCGTCTTACTATGTTTGTGCTGTAATGTCTTACTGTGTAGGCTTTTAACAAATGGACTCTAACATTATCGGCAACAATATTTTAAGGATCCTGTTATATTGTCCTGTAGGCTACTTGTTTTATGTCCATGTCACTGTTTTGTATTGTCACTAATATTTGCAGTGTCAATTTCTATTTGTGACTAATAAATCATTAATTGTGCTCATTATTATTATTATTATTATTATTATTATTATTATTATCATTATTATGGCTGTTGTTGTGTTTAATTGTACTGTTATACCTATCCTATATCTGTGTGTTTTGTGTGTATTATGATGAGTACCGCCATGATTATGCTACATGTAATGACGATTACATGAAGGTGCTGTTTGCTAAATAACAAATGCATCTTATGCAAGTACATTTTTGAATAATTTTCTCCCTCGGATTCACAGTACATGGCTGCAGTGTCTGTGTTTGTCTCACTGAGAGCGCTGAAGCTTGCGCTGGGCTCCTTTGAAAGACAGCTCAATCTTAACATTCAAGCATTAACATTCAAGCATTAACCTGCACACAATACCATAAATAACTGTGGTGAGCACAAAGGATTTCACTTTAAAAAGATTTTTAAAAAATTATTTCATGAAGACATAGACTTCTAATCACATATTAAAAGCCTGTGACCAGCAAAAAGATATATAAAATACAAGCTTTATTTCTATTTTTTAAAAAGCTATTTAATAAAATTGACCTTGATGCTTTTTAGGCCCAGAAGCATGACTCAAGAGAAACCCCACCAATCAGACCTCTTGAAAGTGATGCAGACGTGAGTATCAGAAGCAGTCACTTACCATCTTATTAGATGTTTCTCTCTGAGACAACAGTCAGATTGTGATTTTCCCTCTACAGGCTGTGTTGACAAGGTTGTGCGGGTGTGACAAGCTGCTACAGTCACTGTCTGTAGAACTGGCCCAGCTGCAAATGGATAAGGTCAGTACTTGAATGGTTACAGTTGTATCCATCCCATGAAAACCAACAATCTCATTAATAGTGCTGTATTCTGTCTGTTCTGGTAAATATTGTGACTGCATTTCAAACTCAGACACTAGTGTCGTTTTACAGGACAGTGTCCAGTGTGCGTTAGAGGTGTCCAGACTGCAGCTGGAGGAGTGGCAGAGCCAGGGGCCCCGAGCCCAGGAAGAGGCACTGACCCAGAAGGCTTTGCTCCAGGAGGATCTGGTCACAATCCGAGCCAGAATGTGTGACGTATCATTGGTGTGTAAAAACTCCAGGTGGCAGTGACCCCAAATGAGACAAGCAATGGCACTACATGAGTAGGGCTGCTGTGATTGCAAATCCCTCCAATTCGTTAGCAGAAATCAGGGATCTTTGGGTTTTTTTTGTTGTTGTTTATAAATCTGTCTCTATATTTTTTACTCAGGAAATGGAGAGGGTGTGGAGTCAATATGAGCGAATGGAGAGTGAACTGTCTGTTATACGCTCACACCTTCAGCACATCTGTAACTTTGGAATACCACAGGTACTTCATAAACTACAAAATGTGTACTTGTGTATATATATATACTTATAATGTATATATATATATATATACATATATAAAACAATATGAATGTTTACAGTATCTTATGTATATCTGTCTCAAAGACTCTGTACTTTAGTGACTGCTCACCCTTGAGGTCCAACTAAGTGCATCTCCATTTGTGCGTGTTTGCTTTCATAGTGTTGGAGCATTCACCCCAAGGTCAAATATTTCATGAGCAAAATCATCTGTTTCTTTCTTATCAGGAGCAGTCTCAGGCTCAGAGAGAGCTGTGGATGATGGAGGACATACTCGCTGGACTGAAGGTCAACAGGGATCATTTCCGCTTCTTGCTGGGACTACAGAGGCACAACAGTAGGAATCAGCTACTCCTGCTGTAATCTTTAGAGTGTGTAGCTCATGAAGGCTTGTGCCAGTTTGCAAAATTCAGCTTCTCATCCAATGTGTTGTGATGTTGTTGGTGGAAATACAGTGATTTAAATTGAGTTATGTCTCCTATTAGAGTGGTGAGGTGATAGCTCAACAACCACCATGCTGTACATACTGTATGCAGTACATAGTGAATTATTTTAATTATCCTTTGTTTTGAATTGAGTATCTTCTATTAAACAATACATTTCTTATACAACACACTTATACTATTACTATTATCCATGAATATTTCATATATTCAATATATATATATATATATATATTTATTTATATGGATGAATTGCTCAAGAATTCCTGGGTGGGTGAAGAGATACAATTAAGTGAATTAATATAAGCTACACCAGGTAATGTTATACGCAAGAATACAGCCATCTTATCAGCCTAATGCACAAGGCTTCATTACCAAAGTGTTAAGCAAATTGCTTAAAAAAAAAAAAAAAAAGGAGAGGAAACGGGAAATGATATGATAGATCAAAACTTCAGAGTGAATAAGAAAAATCTAAAAATGTAAAGATGCCAGTAAAACACTTAGGCCTAACATTGTGCTGATGTCACACTGTACATACTGTACAGTATATCTCGTTCTGTCTCTGAAGTCTTAATTCAAACAATTACTCCTTACTGCCATGTGGGGTCGCCAATGTGCATAGTTGCCTGTTCCATCCTGATTTTGCACATGAGAACCTGACAATAGATGAACAGTGTTAACACTCTGACCTTTTCTGCCTCTGCCCCAAGTGTTCCAGCAGCCAGCCCCACATCCTGGATCCCCTGGCTCTCCCACAGAGAGGCTGCACAGTGGACTGCCAATGGTACGACTTCTGTCCATGATTCCTTTGTCAGTGACCCCTGACATTTGTTGTCTGCTTATGAACAAACATGGAATTGTTGTCCACCCGAGGCAGAGATTAAATCAGTCTGCTGGCATCTGCTGACTAGATCTTATAGTATGCCAACATTTGTGACATACTGTATTCATGTCTTTTGGAGCACTAATGATATTAGCTCTCGAGTCAGAACAGCAGGATCTGCACAAGTCCTTCAGTCAATGTTGCCGTCATGTCAAACACTGACTCTCTAAAATGTGTACTATCAGTCTTGTATAGATACAACTGGATTTTCCATCATTGCTTCACAGTTTTTATTACATTCCTTGTGACTATTATCCCAACAGGATGTGGAACAAGAGCCACCAGCCCGTCCAGCCTTACCCCAGGAGCTACTGGAGAGCCAACAGGGCCACGGCTATACAGAGTCACCATATGAGGTGGGAAATATTGACATTATGCATGTCAAATATCATCCAGTTTGAACATGTTTTCATGTTTTTCTATGCTTATGTTTCAGGGAATCTACAGCCACGCTGTTGATCCTGCACATAGAAGAGGGAACAGCCAGCCTGACCTCCTTCATGTGAAAGCACCGAGAGACGCATCCGGTTGGCACAGATATACTCAATATAAATAGAGTACATGAAAAGAGCCATTTTGATACAATGGCCAGTAGATTAATATTTTCTGACTCATCTAATATGAAACAGCTTTAATAGGTGTTTTATGCACACAAAAAAAAAAAAAAAATCATTGTTAGTCCCCAGTGGCTTTGTTTGTCTTCCACCCTCATATTTCCTGTTTCTCTTTCTTCCTGTCACCATCTCCTCCCACCCATCCTCTCGCCCTCCTTATATCCTTCTCCTCCTCTTTCCTGCCTTTTCATTTCATCTTTAGACTCTCAGTCTGGTTCAAAGTGGATCCCACCAGACACAGCCAACCAATCAACCAAGGTTTGATTCTTCATAATTTCCTGTTTGCTGGTTAACTATATGTGGATGTATGCAATGTGATCCAAAATGCTCCAAATATAGAAGCAGTCAAAAGCTGATTTTTCCTCATTGCAATCACAGCCAAATTCCAATTCTTTGATTCTCTCATCTTCCTTGCAATTAGGGCATGTTGCAGTGCCTGTTCGAGGCGAGAGGGGGAGGCAGAGGCTCATGTCTCATCACAGTAGCTCAGGCTTCTCACTTCTGCCACCCAACCCCCCCTTTTTCACATGTACACATGCATGTGAACATACAGATGCAAGCAGCCATTCTTGTACTCATGCACACATACATCTCGGCACAGACAGATGCAAACACGCAGCCCTGATATTAATCCATAATCTGTTTTTGATATGCAAATCATAGATTCAGTTTCTGGCTTTACCTTCTCTACATGCGTACTGCTGAGGTCCAGAGTTCATAAATGACTCATATCTTTTCTAGAAGATGAAGATGAGTGAAGAGGAGCAGCTTGAGAGGATCAAGAGAAATCAAGAGAGGTTGACAAATAGGAAGAAACCTCCCATGCCCACTCCAGGTGTCCCGAGTCAAAGTTCAGACACACGAGAGGAGGTTTGCCAAATCACTGATCAGTATAACTGACTGGATCAGCGCATTATATTATATACAAATATACTTACACTCATTGTACTTAATTACTTACTACTAATCTATCTTGGTATTTCCTCAGGCCCCCTTTCCTTTAAGGGTGACACGTGTGGTTACAGCTGTACTGCCATCCTCTCTTGTGGCCCGACGGGTTTCTGTCGAGGATCCCCCGGCTGAGCTTGACACTCCACTGCCTGAGCAGATCCCACCTGAGATGCAGCAAAGACTGGCTGAGCAGAGTAAAAAAATGTCGAATAAGCCACCTAGGCGTCTGCTGCTGGAAAGCCCTGATCAAAACCGGTCTTTGGCAGAAATGCAGCAGGATCAGCCCGTTAAAAGGACAAGCAGACAGCAGCATCTGGGTGCACTGAGGTCTTCCAAGAGAGAGTCACGGGCAGACACGAGCAGAGCTGAGGCTACAGAGACCTCAAGGAATCAAGCTAGAGACCATGCAGGTTTAGGAAATGGAAGAGAGAGCTCAGACACTAGGGTAAGAAAAAATAAAGTTAAATTAAATAATAATACATTTTCTTGTCCTGTATAGTTGTTATCCTTCCTCAGTGTTTAGGTTCCCACAGACAGATAACACTAATAATTCAAAATCTTATTATTAACAATAAGACATGAAAGTGACATTAGCAACTCTCATGGCACATCATGTTCTATTTACCATTACTGTATTAAAAAATGATTAATTGCATTGATTTATCCCATAAGTTCAGTTCATTCTGGTGTAGCATGCATTCTGATATGAAAGTCCTTTAGCAGGCAGAAGAACGACCCACTGCCCTCCTCACCCCTGACATGGACCCTGACCTCTGTCTGACCCCTGAGCAGAGAGAGGCCAAACTCCGCCGTGTGGAACGAATACGGGAGAGAGTCATACGAAGGTGGGATATGTCATCATTTATATTTAAATGTATTTATAAATGCTTTAGGTGCATTTCACAAATTGGTTGTTCTATCCATCTATCTATCTATCTATCTATCTATCCATCTATCAGCGCAGTCAGAGAGAGTGTTTCTACACACAATCAACAACCAATCAGGGGGGAGAAGCAGGATGTTCTCCAGGTGCCCCCTGACACAGCTAGAAAACAAAGGATGAAATTAGGTACGTACGGTATTCCCCAACACAAAATCAATAAGCTAAGGATTGGAACCGAGATCAAGTTTTTCCTGGCCATTAGCTATTACAGTGAAATACCAAAGGAATTCTATATCAGTAGAAACATATGCTGCTGACTACTTATGCACTAACTAACTGATAAGTTCTGCTCCTGTTTTCAGACCTTGAAAGCCAACCATGTTACATTGGAAACTATGGGGATAATCTAAGAAGTCCAGCAGAACTTGAGTTTTCTAGTGGAACATCTCAAGATGAAGACGAAAGAGACGCACGTGTGAAAAAATTTAAAAGTCAGGTCAATTTTGGGGACAAAACACAACGCAAAGATCACAGTGGAAGAGCAGGGGTTGCCAAAACTAAGATCAGACGTCCAGCTTCACCATATCATATATCATCTATGACTGTCTACCAGAAAGACGGAGGCAAGGGATTTGTAAGTTGCAAGGTTGAAGAGGAGAAAAAGCTTGAAGAACCTGCTGCTGATGACAGTGAAAGTAACTCTTCATCCACGGATGTGAGAGCCAAGTGGTTCCTCTCCACCAACCAGTGGCAAGGGTTCATACCTTTGCAGATCCCTGGCATAGACTCATTGTGCAGTGAGGAGATAACAGACATCGAGCAACAACCAGCATGCACTGATGACGTGACTGAGTCCAGTGAAATGTCATCCACAGTGTGCGAGAGCTTAGAGAAAATGAAAGAGAACCATTCACTCTTCTATAAGATTGCATGCGACATCAGTATCTCAGACACAGACATAACAAAGAATGACGGGAATACCAGTGTGCAACCGCCGTGTGGGCCAGAAGAGGAAGAAGAACCACCGATGGCTGAGTCTGTACCAGTTGACACGACCAGTAATGTTGGAACATCTCCTAACCAAGACAGCAAGGATTCCAGCATAAGTTTGCCATCAGATGTTGATGAAAACAGCCTCTCAAATGATAATAAACTCCAAGATTCAACAGAGGAAACCCAGGACAAAGCAGCGTTAAATACCTCAGTCAGTCCAGCAACAGAGACACATGTTTATGAAGAGAACCAACAAAAAGAATGTGAAGACACCTCGACGCAAGAGAGCCAGTTGAAAGTCAAAGAAGCTAATCATGGCGCTTCTGCTCAGGACGCTGGTTCTAACCAGGGCCAGGGTGAATGTGCAAAGACCAGAGAGGAACACAGTTGGACGAAAGAGTCAGAGGAGAAGAAGGTGGACCAAGAGAGATCGGAGGAGCTGACGAAATCTCGCAGTTCAAGCGAGGAGAACAAGGAGACAGTCCAAGAACGAGACGACAACAATTCCGTCACTCCATCCAGCTCTGCGTATGAGGGCAGACGCATGATTCGAAGTGCCTCTTTTGGGAAGGCACGAGTAACAGTGTTAAGGACAAGTTTGTAGGAGCGAGAATAGTGACGGCTTAAGGAGCTTAAATGAACGAACTTGGGAAGGACAAGAACAGAGTTAAGTGATTTATAGTAAAAGGAAAATGCCTCAGGAAGAAGACTTAAAGTGTTTGAAGGAAACTGGACCTAACTTTGAGTAGGAAATGGTAAAATGGGAACATACAATATCAGAAATGGACATGATCTTTGGTAAACTTGAACAATTCCATTATTCATAATATGTGGTTGAATGCAGATTAAAAAAAAAAGTCTTAAGAAAATTTCATCAAAATGAAATCTATGTATGCAAATATAGTGTTGTTCTTGCAGTTGGTAAACACCAAATATCTGGTGTATAGTTGCAGTCAAATACATGCCCAGAATTTGAGGCTAACACTTTCATTCCTCTTCAGATATACATCTAACATAACACAGAAATGATAGATGATGGCTGCTTATGGACGGCAACATAACCCTGTTTTTATCACTGTAACAGAATGTGTTTTGTATCTCAAATATCCTGATTAATAAACATGCTGTGTGCCACACTGAGACGCCAACTCCTGCTTTTTATGTGCAAGACACACATTTATGGTTTTGCTCTCACTCCATGCATCCTTCGCCCCCCCCCCTCCACTCAATGAAGGTCCCCCGGGTGCATGGGTGCTGCTCTCTGAGGAGACCTGATGCAGGATTACATGGAGCCACTGAAAATGCCTTTGTCACTTTAAATCCTTGCCGTGTCTCAGTCGATGACATCATTGTCTGAGAACACATTACATCACCCCTTTCCAGGCTCTCTCTCTTAAAGACAGCACCACCTTATGTTTACTGAGCTACACACACATACACACTCACAGAGAGACCTGCTTATCTGTTTACAAGTGTGATATCAGTATCAACATGCATATTTATAACAGTCTTTATCATATGAATTTTTATGCGTGGGCTGGTGAATTCATATTGTATGGATGTTAATTACATTATGGACAGCATCCATAGATATGGCCATTTCCATAGATGTATGAAAAGTTGGCAATTGAACTTAATAACATTCATTTTAAACATATTCATGCCACGATTGAATAAAAATGGCATGCTTTCTCTCCCACACTGCAGAATGCGTTCCTGCACCGACTTTAAATGAGAGCTTTTTTTTTTTTTTTTTTAAATACAGTATTAATACATCAAACATTCTGTATGTATGTAGCGGAATGGAGGCAAGGTGACCCTGCAAATATGTGAACTGTGATTTATGGTGACTGCTTCCTTAAAATTAATAGGTAGAAAGGTGGATTACTGGCATATTTGAACAGTTATAGCTCAGAATATTGGATATCATATGTAGTTCTCACATGAGTTTTTGTAATGGTCTGAAGTTGGGCCTGCAGAGCATCATCCCACACATCCTCTGCAAGAATGCACTGCAGATATAATACTGGTTTATTATTTACAAAGTCAACTGTATGCATATTTGTTACATATAATTATTTTAAATGAGTGAATTTGGGCTCAATCTGCAGCTAAAAGGGCAATATGGGATCGTTAGAAGTAAAATGTCTGTGCAGTTAGTTTGCACTTGTCTGTGATATACATACACACTGTATAATTAATCAGGTGTTTGATTGGCCTGTGAGTGCGCGTGAGTGCGGGGCGCGCGCGTAAATCACAGGGATGCGGAGAATGCTGAGAGAATGTTTCTTTAAGACCCATTACCTTCCAATCCGACAGAGGGGGGAGTCTGTGGTAAGGTGGCGTATCGTCTCTCTCCGCGTCCCCCCGCTCGCCGTTTACATGTGGAAAAGAGAGGCGGAAAGAAATAACACACACTGTCAGCTTTACTCTGGTTTCGGATGAGGAGGGCACGGACACCGAGGCACGATCTTTCGCGGAGATGGACCTAAGGAATATTTAACATCTAACATGGACACTACAGGCTCCCCGCGATGACTGTGGTAAGGATGCAACTTCACACCGCCCCATCGCAACCCAGTTTCCACTGAAAGGGAGAATTATATTCATCGAAGGGGGGGGGGGGCGCAGAGGATGGAACATGCATGCACAAATGTAACGATAAATGCATGGGTGTGCGTGCACGCGCGTGTGATAACAAGTGGGCTACCTAACATTGTGTTGTCAAGGATTGAGGGAGGGGGGTGGTGTGTGTGTGTGTGTGTGAGGGCAGAGAGGGAGGGGGTGCTATTTGAATCGAAGCAAATAGGCTTATATTAGATAGACTATGCAACGCTCCGAGCCTATGTCAGTGTCAGGCATTGACAGGTGTGTTGGCAGCACACAGCACGATTTATTTAGGGCGCGCTTGCTCGCTCATACAGTTAGGTGAGGTGATAGCTACTTCAGAGAGAGAGCGCGAGAGAGGGAGGGAGAGAGCGAGAGATCATAAGATGCTACTGTATATTGGCCTACTATGTGTTGCTTGTAATTAATCATGGCTGTAACTAAGCTCTTTGCCGTTGGGAGCTTTGTAGTCAAACCTCCCAGTTCGTCTCACCGCTGTTACTGGGCCTATGGAGTTGCTTATAATTCTATAATGCCTGGAGAAGGCAGGCCCATTACTGAAAATGTGCGATGTGCATTTTTTGGGCCATCCTCCTGACGTGATGCTTTCCACAGCCTCAGCCGAGCAGGATCTCTTCAGAGAACAGACAAGGATCCATCTCCCTTCCTCTTTGCTTTAGTGCTCATTTTAACACTGATCACTCCAACACACAGCTACTTAGCTTTTTTTTTTTTTGCTTTTTTTTTTTTAACTAGAAGAATGTAGATGTGCGCGTGCGTGCTCGTGCGCACTCGCGCGTCTATCATGGAATGGTCTTTCCTCCATACATCCAGAAATGGAGGTATAGCCACAGACTAGTCGACCTGTCATACGGAGAGCCTCGTCATTTTCCCATCAGCTACAGCCCGGTGTGCAGTGAGGATGCCAGCGCGACCAGAAGCGTGTTGAGTCCGAATCCCGGTGCCTCCATTCCCACTGCCCAGCTGCCGACGATCACTTATCGATTCCAATGATGCGTTTCTTGCCCAGGGGGTACCGTTTCATGGTATTAAGAGGAGGGGGGAGGAGGAGGAGGAGGGGGAGGTGGTGGTGGTGGTGGTGATGTGGGGGGAGAGACGCGTTCATTATTAGTCGCTATATGCTCTGCTTTTACTGAAATGCCCGGAATGCATCCGACGTGCATGCAGTCTTTCGCTGAGGCGGTGATTTAACGCTTAACTGGATGTAAAAACCCATCGCCCAGACCCCTCTGTCTTTAGTTCTCATTGTCGGCGGCTGTGGGAGCCTGCAAACCCCTCTCCCCGCCCCAGTGTCTGGTGGAGGAGAGCTGTTGTTTGCTGCTCTTTCTCTCTCTCTCTCTATCTCACACACACACACACACACACACACACACATATTTTTTCCTTTGCCATTTTTCAGAGACAGGGAATATTTAGTAACATGATACACCGCCTAATTGGGGGCCAAATCCTAATTGGTCATCTAGCAAGCAGATACTGTAGGCTACAGCCAGTCTGTCCACTCCAGGGTACAAGCAGGATTCAATGTGACTGTGTATGATGATGATGATGATGATGATGATGATGATGATGATGATGATGATGATGTGGGCAATCATAATATGAACGCACCCACATGTGCACATGAAACACACAAACTTGATTGATTTCAATGTGGTGACACTGTGCGTGAGCTCAACCATTACACCAATGGATCTAATGCAGCTACTTGATAATGTGGCTGTGCTATAGCTCTGCATTATAGAAACATGCCATGCCAACAGCAAGTTGTTTCTGTGCTGCCTCTCTGCCCGTGCCCATGCTCTCACTTCAGTGGCAGCAAGAATAGCAATTTTATTCCAAGAAAAGGTCTTAATAATGCCCATACAGCTGTGATGTTATGGCATGAGAAGTCTACAGTGAACCAGACACGGAGTGCTCGCTCTTGTTTCCTAGTTGTCGTTCTCTCTCTCTCTCCTCCACACACTCACAAACACACAGGTCCCGAAGCCCAGTGACCTCACAGCTGACGCTTCAGTCAAAACTGCAGGCTGCACAGTTATGTTTTTCCCTGCACTGAATCAGGACTCCAGCAATGAATCCTTTGTTTTTTTCCTCAGCGCAAAAACTCATCATAATGACACAGGAGGAATACAGTGAACTATTACTGTGAGCTGTGCAGTGATTGTTACAACATATACGAGAGTCCGCAGTAATTACATTACCCCGTTTTCTGTTGCCCCTGCTGTGCTAATGAAGAGTTGCTGGTAATGACAATGAGTAATATCCCAAACTGAGCGGTAGAAAGTTTTGCTTACAGGCCACCTTATACTAAAACAGGAGTATTTCAAGGCTTTTCAAGGCCCCGTACCAACTCAAATTAATTTCAGGAGGATATTTTTGGGTAGTTTCGATCACAATCAGAAGATGTTGTAGTCTTTGGTCTACATAAAACCTCTGGAAACATCAGAGGTACTAAGTGTAGTTTGATCAAGAGTGTTTTCTAAAGAGGCACAAAAGTGACACATTCAAGTCAGACCACGAATTTGTCCCAACACAAAGATATTTTTGCCCTATAAAACGCTATAGATCCTCATCAATAACGTTGGTTCATTTTACATGAAAGCAAGCGAGATCATTAAGCAAGTAAATACTTGCAGAATGCCTTTGAAAGGCAACAAGATCACATCAATCTGATTCTGGACAATCCAAAAAGTGGTTGTCATTATGTTGTGTTTCAAAACAGTTGATGGCCAAACTATTTTTGGTAGCCACAGGCCATGACAGGAAGTGGATAAAAGTACATTTTTGCACCCTTGGTTGAAAATCACCACTTGAGCACAGTAATAACAGAACAGTTATTAATCAAAATCAGCTATCACCGACATCAGTTGCCTTAGTGCTAAACACACTGTTAGCATGATGTAATTCAGGTGTATGTCATGTGACTGTTAAACTCTCACTGATCTTTTGTCCCACTGAAGCAGGTTATCACTGAATTTTACGTTCACTTCTGACGTTTCACAATTCCGGGGCTTTTTAAAGTCCTTTCTCAATGTGTGCTACTGCTATGAGGACACGCAATTGATGACATGCATATGCAGCCACCAGTGTGTCGGAGAAGTTCAAAACAGTTCTTAAATCTGATTTCATTTTGAACTCTGGAAGTGCACTTTAAGGAAATGCAGTGAATGCCAGTTCAGTCTTGCATCAGTGATTATCCATCAGTGGAGCGGGAAAGGAAGTAAGCTGTTTTTTAGTGGGACACACAGTGAGGATGCCAAGTGCTCTAGCCAGCTCACCAGCATGAGGAGCTAATGCAGAGCTGTATCAGGCCTCCAATTACCAGCTAGCAGTCCCCCATCTTTGGTCTTGGACGTCCTTATATTAATAATAAGACCACTGGCAGAGACTTATTTTCACTGGAGCTCAGGCTCACTTGCACTAAATATGTTTGATCACAAAATGGATGATTTTGGTTGGACAAAGAAATTCTTTATTGTGCTGCCTAGTCTC